GGTCCCCAAACCAACCCCAAAACCCAACGCAGGACCTCCAAGACCCCCAAAACCCAACACAGGATCTCCCAACCAACCCCAAAACCCAACACAGGACGTCCAAGACCCCCAAAACCCAACACAGGACCTCCTAACCCCCAAAACCCAACACATGAGGTCCCACCAACCCCAAAACCCAACACAGGACCTCCCAACCAACCCCAAAACCCAACACAGGACCTCCCAACCAACCCCAAAACCCAACACAGGACCTCCAAGACCCCCAAAACCCAACACAGGATCTCCCAACCAACCCCAAAACCCAACCCATGAGGTCCCACCAACCCCAAAACCCAACACATGAGGTCCCACCAACCCCAAAACCCATCCCAGGACCTCCCGACACCCCGCTAGATCATCCTGAAACCTCAACACCACCTCTGCTGTTTCTGCCTCCTGGCCATCTCCTTCAGCTTGCAGGCTGCCTCGCACCTCCTCCGCCTCCTCTCTCCCCGCGCGGCCGCCTCGACCCGCAGGCGTTGCCGGTGACACGAGCGTTGGCACGCGGCTACCAAACGGCGTAAGCGGGCCGTCAGCACCGAGCTGGCCGGCCACGTCACCAACTGGCCTGGAGGACCTTATGGGAAGGATATGGAGATAATGGGGTTAGGGAGAGATTTTTAGGAGGTCTTATGGGGGTTGGAGGGAGATTCGCCATCCTATTGGGGTCAACTCCACCCTATAAAGGTGGAGATCTCAATAGGAACATCTCCATCCCATAGAGGTGAAGATCCCACAATGGGATCATCTCCATCCTAATGGGGTCATCTCCATCCCATAGAGGTTGAGACCCCAATAGGGACATCTCCATCCCTTTGGGGTCAGCTCCATCCCAATAGGAACATCCCCATCCCATAAAGGTGGAGACCCCAATAGGGACATTTCCATCCCTTTGGGGTCATCTCCATCCCATAGAGGTGAAGACCCCAATAGGAACATCTCCATCCCACTGGGGATAACCCCATCCCATAAAGGTGGAGACCCCAATAGGGACATCTCCACCCCATTGGGGTCAGCTCCATCCCTTTGGGGTCAGCTCCATCCCTTTGGGGTCAGCTCCATCCCATAGAGGTGGAGACCCCAATAGGGACATCTCCATCCCATTGGGGTCAGCTCCATCCCATAAAGGTGGAGACCCCAAAAGGGACACCTCCATCCCATTGGGGTCAGCTCCATCCCTTTGGGGTCAGCTCCATCCCATAGAGGTGGAGACCCCAATAGGAACATCTCCATCCCTTTGGGGTCAGCTCCATCCCATTGGGGTCATCTCCACCCCATAGAGGTGAAGACCCCAATAGGAACATCTCCATCCCAATGGGAAAATCCCCATCCCATAAAGGTGGAGATCCCATTGGGGTCACCTCCATCCCATTGGGGTCACCTCTATCCCATAGACGTGGAAACCCCAATAGGGACATCTCCATCCCTTTAGGGTCATCTCCATCCCAATAGGAACACCTCCATCCCTTTGGGGTCAGCTCCATCCCTTTGGGGTCATCCGCATCCCATAAAGGTGGAGACCCCAA